CTCTCTCATCAGCATGCGAACAGTGCATGCTGATCATACCAAAGCCTTTTTTCTTCGAGAAGTCATGGAAGCCAAACCCCGGTTGTGAGGGGGCAACGACATGAAAGGCTGGTTTCCCTTCCTCGGGTTCAGTCAGCAGTGGGAGGATTTTGAGGACCTCCAGGAAAGAGCCGGGCCTGATCCTGTCAGCTCATGCACCATTACAGCCCTGTAACCTGTGTGTTCAACTGACCAGCCATGTAGGAACAGAAGCGGAACGGCGTCTGGCCTCGATGACCGATGGTGAAGAAAGTGGATGCCTAGGGCCTCAAAGCCGGGCACCTGTATCGTGGTTTTGAAGTGGTGGAAGGTGTTCAAGAAGGACTCATAGTTCTTCCAGTCATACTCGTCACGCCAGAACTGAACGAGCTCCTTGAACGCTTTGTGGCCGATCTCAAGGTCGTTCCATTCAACGGATCCCATGGCATCGTCAAGACGAGCGTACTTGAGCTTGACTCTCGTCTCCTCTAGCAGCGCATCCGGGACATTGATCTCAATTTCAGTAAGCAGACAAATCTTCCCCCCCTTTTGGCCGAAACGGATACATCCCCGCTGTTCGCTACCTTACTCACCGTAAAAGGCACGATGTCTGACATGGTTTCGTATCTACGTTATCGATGACTACTCCTTTACGTGAATGATATGTTCGCAATGTCGATTGATTTAAACCAAGAACAACATGAAGCACAGATGCTAACCGATGGCAATGGGGGGAATTGTTGTATTTGAGTAAAAAACGAAATGATCGACCACTCGATTGCTCTCTGTGGTAGTCGTTGGCGCGGCTGACGTTGACATGATCGAACGCCTACGAGCACCTGTGGTACCGCTGGGTTCCATTGGGGGGGGGGAAACCCCTCAACTGTAGGATAAAACATGTGAACTCTGGTGGTTCCTGATTAATTCCAACGGTAAATGTTGCATGGGATAGATCCAAGCTCCGAGCCAAACAGTAAAGCCAGTTGCCGCTTATAGACCTCGTAAGGAGTCTCTCGGCTTGTGACCAATGTCGAACCCGGCAGACGTCCCGCGATGTCTACATGTGTGAATGCCTAGGCGCAAATGCGCTGGAAGCATTTACATAAAAAAATATCAACTCGGTGCTGGTCTCGAATGGATGTTTGCTCATCGTTGACACGATGCTAAGGGACGGCTGCGGCCAGGTGTTGTATGGAGGACACCCCGCAGCTCCTGATTCCGGCCCATCTTTGCGAGGCCTCCCCGAAGCCAACCCCCAGGAAAGGGACAGGCGCCGTCGCAGAGCCTCCACCCTGTGGATCATGAACTGTTCAGAATTCGCCGATTTTCAACAAAGGCCGCATGGCCCAATGGCAAGGCGTCTGACTACGAACAGCACTTGATGAAAGATCCTCTGCTGTAGGCATCAGGAGATTGCAGGTTCGAGCCCTGCTGTGGTCAATTGTATGGCACCCGAAAGGGTGCACCATCTTTTTGAAGGTTTTGCGTGGTGCTTTTTGCCTATTATTACGTGTGCCACAACGGTGATACGAGTCTCAGATGTGCCAGGCTGTGTCGATCCCTTTCTCATCCAAAGAACCTTGAAGGGACACAGACGGTACCCCTTTATTCTGATGTGCATATTGGTGCCCAAGGTGTCTAGCATGTGTATGTGTCGCCGCCCCGAGAGATGACGGAACCAGTTTCGACTTGACAGGCCGCATCTCATTCGCGTAGGATATGTTGCAGAGCTGAAGAGACGGACGGGATGCATTCTTTTCGTTCACGGGTTTATTGGTCTTTCGGCGTTGTGAGTAACTTATATGGGCACCTCAGTGTTCGTTCTTCTTGGAACATTCGTAATCCAAGACGATCAAGTGAAATTCCAGGTGGGGCACAGCGCCACTGCCACTGTCACAGCCCCTGCCCCATCACCAAATCGTTCCTTGGATCAGTGCCTCTGAGTGCCTCCCACTGCAACTGGCCTCTGAGGAGCAGGTGCACCGCCCCCTCTGCTTCGTACCACCTCCTGCAAGCCTGCAAGGCAAGACCACCCCCCCAACACAACATTGAAACCCCTGGTTTAAACCTGCCCTGAGACCTGGAAGTTGAAGCATTCCCATACTCCCTTATACCTCAGCTTCCAGTCTCGATTCTCCTGTTTGTTCCTCGTCTCGACATCAATTCTCATTCCCCTTCCTCAACGCGGGACCCATTCACTAGATAAGCGGACCCGCGTGTGTTTGGATCGCCTGCCATCCGAGTTGGGTACCTGCCCCGACCAAGGTCACCCTCAGGTACCTTTCTGCCCGCCTGACACCTGCCGAGGGACATATTCACTACCTTACTCACCCCTCCTCCACTCGGTCCTCCTGGTCCTGGTCTCGCGCCTTCTCAGTTCAGCCCAGTCAACCAGTCGACTGCTAGCCACTTTGCGGGGTTCAACTTCGGTTCGCCAAACACCAGACCTGGGACCCTGGAGAGCCCCTTCCATCGATACAATACACCTCACCAGGCCTGCCCGACCGGTATCTGTCCGACCTTTTGACTTTGCTTCTGTTTCGTCATTCTCCAGAAGCAGGTTCTTGAATCGATTCTCTTCCGCATTATTCGCCCCTCGACCCCGTCTGCTGCGCTCCTTCCATTCTACTGACCTGAGGACACGGGCTGACAAAACCGCCCCCCCCCCCCCCCCCCCCCCCCCCCAAAAAATTTTCCTTTTTTTTTTTTGGGCCAAAGCCCCTTTTTTTTAAGAAGCCCCCCCCAAACCCCCGGCGAAAGGGTAGGGGGGACAAAAAAATTAGCCCATAAAGAGGGGAAAGCGCCACAAAAAACTAAGGGGAAACACCTGGGCCCCTTGGCCAGCACCTTCTCCCGTTCCCCCTCCACCTCGACCATCGTTGAAGGGGAAAAGGGCCAGCCCAGTGCCAGCGCGGGCGCCGCTGCCCCCGCCACTCCTTCCCCGCTGTCCAACAGCGACACCATCGGTACGTCTAGCTACGGCAGCAATGTCTGGAAGTTGTAGTCACGAGCAACCATTATGCCTCGCACCTTCCCGTAACCTTGGGCTAATCCCCTCACCCACCAGCTGCCTCCGAAAGCATGGCGCAAGCTCCTGTCGTCACGCCGCCCAAGCCCGGTATTCTCGTCGTCACACTCCACGAAGGCCAGGGCTTCTCGCTACCCGAACAGCACCGCGCCACATTCAACTCTTCGCACCCACAGAACTCTCTATCGACCGGAAATGCCCTCAGCGGTGTTGGCTCCGTACGCCCCGGCTCCTCTCAACGAGTGGCTGGCTCCTTGATCAACGGGTCCGGCCGTCCTCAGACATCGAGCGGCAGCGGCTTTAGCGGCATCCCCACGAATCACGGCCGCATCTCAGGAAAATACATGCCTTACGCACTGATCGACTTTGATAAGGTCCAAGTCTTCGTCAACTCTGTCGAGGGTACACCCGAGAACCCCCTCTGGGCAGGCAGCAACACGCAGTACAAGTTCGATGTGTCGCGTGTCACCGAGCTCGGCATCCACCTCTACATGCGCAACCCCTTGGCGGCACCAGGCTCCGGACGCAGCCAGGATATTTTCCTTGGCGTCGTCCGCATCAACCCTCGTTTCGAAGAGCGCCAATCGTTTGTCGAAGACCCCAAAGCCAGCAAGAAGGACCGCGAGTCGGCTGCCGCTGACCATGCCAATCGCGAGAAGAGCCTCGGACACAGCGGAGTCCAATGGACCGATGTGCAGTATGGCACTGGCAAGCTCAAGATTGGCGTTGAGTATGTCGAGAATCGTGCGGGCAAGCTTCAGATTGAGGACTTTGAATTGCTCAAGCTGGTAGGTAAGGGAAGCTTCGGCAAGGTCATGCAGGTTCGCAAGAAGGACACCCACCGGATCTACGCCGTGAAAACGATCCGCAAGGCACACATCATCTCCCGATCCGAAGTCGCACACACGCTGGCAGAGAGGTCGGTGCTGGCACAGATTAACAATCCCTTCATCGTCCCCCTCAAATTCACCTTCCAGTCACCTGCGAAGCTGTATTTCGTCCTCGCCTTCATCAACGGTGGCGAACTGTTCCACCACCTGCAGAAGGAGCAGCGTTTTGACGTCAATCGCTCGCGATTCTACACTGCAGAACTGCTCTGTGCCCTTGAGTGCCTCCACGGCTTCAACGTCATCTACCGCGATCTGAAGCCGGAGAACATTCTGCTCGACTACCAAGGTCACATTGCCTTGTGCGATTTCGGTCTCTGCAAGCTGGACATGAAGGACGAAGACAGGACCAACACATTCTGCGGTACCCCCGAATATCTGGCGCCTGAACTTCTCATGGGCCAGGGCTACCAGAAGACGGTGGATTGGTGGACCCTCGGAGTTCTGCTGTACGAGATGTTGACGGGTCTACCTCCTTTCTATGACGAGAACACCAACGAGATGTACCGCAAGATTCTGTCGGAACCACTTCACTTCCCCGGCCACGACATTGTGCCTCCTGCCGCCAAGGACCTTCTCATCAAGCTCCTCAACCGTAAGCCGGAAGAGCGCCTTGGAGCCAACGGCTCGGCCGAGATCAAGGCGCACCCCTTCTTCCACGCCATTGACTGGCGTAAGCTGCTGCAGCGCAAGTACGAGCCGGCGTTCAAGCCCAGCGTTGTGAGTTCAACCACAGATTTCCCGTAGTGCAGATTCTGTCTTATAGGAGAATGCATTGCTGACAATAGACTTTCAGGTGGATGCTCTGGACACCAACAACTTTGATCCCGAATTCACGAACGAAGCCCCGCAAGACTCGTTCGTGGATGGACCGATGCTCTCGCAGACGATGCAGAACCAGTTCCAGGGCTTCAGCTACAACCGGCCGATTGCAGGCCTCGGCGACGCAGGCGGCAGCATCAAGGATCCGTCCTTTGTCGGCAGTGTCCAGGACAACCGATAGATCGATCAGCAGCAGTGGACATGGCAACAACCGAAGACGAGGGACACGGACGAGAGGAGATATGCGAACGGAGGAAGAGGATCGCAGCTCTTGCATGCAACACTTGTTTTTGTCTGGCCCCGGCCTTGTGTTTGGCGTTTGGGAAAGGGCATATCTTGCTGACTTGGGTTGTGAGAGGGGCAAGGGACCAGCCGCGTGTGGTTTTATCCTTGTAGACAAGACGCGGCGCCGCAGCTGCTGCCCCCCGAAAACGGAGGCGCCTGGCGAGCAGCTGGTCACGAACAGCAAAGCAGAACAGAAGAGGACATGCACATGCGAGAGAGAGAGAGAGAGACATCTACCGCAAGTGCTCAAACTCCCTACTTCTCCCAATGAACAAGCACATTTTGACCCCCATCATTATGCACACATGGACCCCCACGGTCCAGGGGCCTTTCGCCAGGTAGCCCGGCTCTTCGGTGGTGTAGCTGAGAGCATCATGATAAATTGACGGGGCGAAGGTGAATCTCGAGTTGGTTGCTGGTGACATCAAGCTGACATGTTCATGCCGTAAAGAGAAGGAGGACTGTAGTAATTCTTCCGGATGGTGGCAGCATCATCCAGTGAGCATCGCCGTGGAAGTCCGGGGTTCCAACCGAATACCCATCGTCGGCTTCCTGGGCTCTGAGAGAATTTGGCTCAGTCAGCCCAGCGCCTGAGAACTAACTAGAAGAAAAGGCTAACAAATCGTCAACTGCCCCAGGTCGGAAGTTCCCAACCGCACCACCCAGTTCGCTGGAAGAGACGCCGAGTGGATCGGCCTCGGCCAGAAGCGGGCGGGGCGGGGGCCATATGTCACTAACTGCCCGCTGCCAACCTGCCCTTACCTGCCAGGTACTATAGGTACCTAGGTAACTTCCAACATTCTTAATCCACCTTCTTTTAATTCAGATTCTGGTACGATATATGAATCAAATTCTATAAATTCATCATTTGAGTCTATAAAGTCTGGACAATGTAGGTACCTTAGGTAAGGTAGGTAGGTTCCCAACGAAGTGCCCCATGACAGCCTGGTGGGAGAGCTCGGGGAGGTACCTGTGAGGCAGGGATAGTGGACCAGTGCCGCGGGGCAGGCGCACAGCTAAGGCTGGGCCCCCTTGTCAGAGGTACTTCTGAAATAGCCCGCTAGCGCCGTTTGGAGGAAGTACCATTGAGCCAAAGGCTTTGCAATTCAATGGCTGAGAGGGTCAGGGCCTTGTCACGACCATAACGGTGCTTGCTCTGTGTGCTGTCCCGGCGCCGGCTGATTGATGTTCTTGTCTGCCCCTCACCAGCAAAGTCACCCCTCCTTCACCTCGACCTTCCAGACATCCCACCTTTTGTGTCCGTCCTTCAACAAAACCTGGCGTCACCCCCCAACAAGTTGCTTCCCGAGGGCATCACTCATTTTCACACGGTTCAATCTCAATTAGGTTTGTCTACCCCCCGGGTCTCTTTGCCCTGTCTACGTTTCTCTACTTTGCTTGGGAGCTTCGTGATTGTCTGTCGTCATATCCACGCATAGGCTCTGCCTCTCGCGCATGACCCCGCTATGCTGGAGCTTGGTGCAGCTTGGTGCAAACACACACGGTTCACCTCGAGACTCGACTATCCACAGACTGTCTTGCTTCGGCAGCAGAAGTCGCCAAAGGGGGACATGGGAAATTACATTGAGGGATGATTTGATAATGCTCCGCTGCCGGAGCTCGACGCGGGCGATGGTCTGTTATCTGCTCCCTGCATCTCCGGTTTCTGCGGGTGGTGGCTGCCCCTCCAACTCGGGCTCCCCACAGCTTGTCCCTGACGACGTCTTCAAAATCACGACTTCGATTTCTGAATTTCTGCTCTTCTCTTTTCACTGTCGGGAACCCCAGCTGACCTTTTCTGCTCTTCAGACCTATCCTGCAATCCTTCCCCTTCAAAATGCCTCAAGCCTCCTCCCTACCCGCGTGGGCCGACCTTCAAGCCCACCGCGACAATGTTGGCAAGAACTTTGTCCTCAAGGAGGCCTTCGCTTCCGACCCTGAGCGCTTTGCCAAGTTCTCTCGCACCTTCGCCACCGCCGAAGGCACCGAGATCCTCTTCGACTTCTCCAAGAACTTCCTGACAGAGGAGACCCTTGACCTGCTGGTCAAGCTGGCGGAGCAGGCCGAGGTCGAGAAGAAGCGCGATGCCATGTTCGCCGGCGAGAAGATCAACTTCACCGAGAAGCGTGCTGTCTACCACACTGCTCTGCGCAACGTTGGCGGCTGGGACATGCAGGTGGACGGTGCCAACGTCATGAACGGCCCCAACGGCGTCAACGCCGTTCTCGAACACATGAAGGAGTTCTCCGAGCAGGTGCGCTCCGGCGCCTGGACCGGTTTCACTGGAAAGAAGCTGACCAACATTGTCAACATTGGCATTGGTGGTTCTGATCTCGGTCCCGTCATGGTCACCGAGGCCCTCAAGCACTACGGCGCCAAGGACACGACCCTGCACTTTGTCTCCAACATTGACGGCACCCACATGGCTGAGGCCCTTGCCGCGTCTGATCCCGAGACCACCCTCTTCCTCGTCGCCTCCAAGACCTTCACCACGGCCGAGACCACGACCAACGCCAACACGGCCAAGACCTGGTTCCTTGAGCAGACCGGCGGCAAGGGCGAGATTGCCAAGCACTTTGTTGCTCTGTCTACCAACGAGGCCGAGGTCTCCAAGTTTGGCATTGACACCAAGAACATGTTCGGCTTCGAGAGCTGGGTCGGTGGCCGCTACTCTGTCTGGAGCGCCATCGGCCTCAGCGTTGCGCTGTACATTGGCTTTGACAACTTTTACAAGTTCCTCGGCGGCGCGCACGCCATGGACAAGCACTTCCGCGAGACGCCCCTCAAGGAGAACATTCCCCTGCTGGGTGGTCTCTTGAGCGTGTGGTACTCTGACTTCTTCCAGGCCCAGACTCATCTGGTGGCTCCGTACGTCTGTCGATTCCGGCCTGGTGTGCCAAGCTAACAAGCTGCAGCTTCGACCAGTACCTGCACCGCTTCCCCGCCTACCTCCAGCAGCTGTCCATGGAGTCCAATGGCAAGAGCATCACCTCTGACGGCACTGCTGCCAAGTACACGACTGGTGAGTCTATTCTTTGCCATCTCCCCTGGCCGATAGGCAGGTCACTGACAGCGCAGGCCCCATTCTCTTCGGCGAGCCCTGCACAAACGCCCAGCACTCCTTCTTCCAGCTTGTCCACCAGGGCACCAAGCTCATCCCCACCGACTTCATCCTGGCTGCCAAGTCTCACAACCCCATCTCGGACAACCTGCACCAGAAGATGCTTGCCTCCAACTACTTTGCCCAGGCTGAGGCTCTCATGGTCGGCAAGACGGCTGACGAGGTCCGCGCCGAAGGCAGCACTCCTGAAGACCTCGTCCCCCACAAAGTCTTCCTCGGCAACCGCCCCACCACCTCCATCCTCGTCGGCGGCCACATTGGCCCTGCCGAGCTCGGTGCGCTCATTGTCTACTACGAGCACCTCACCTTCGTCGAGGGTGCCGTCTGGGACATCAACTCCTTTGACCAGTGGGGCGTTGAGCTCGGCAAGGTCCTTGCCAAGAAGATTCTTGGCGAGCTCGACGCCGAGGGCAACGGCGAGGGTCACGACGCCTCGACCGGGGGCCTCATTGGCGCTTTCAAGCGTTACTCCAAGATGTAAGGCATGTGAGCGGCGGGTGGGGAAGTGCATGCCGCGGCATGATGGTTTGATGCTGGGTTTTGAAAATGGTAGATTGCTATGAAAGCTCAATGAAGCGTTAATAACTGCTGCTTCTGTCCTGTGATAAAGGCTCGGTATCGTGTATACCAACACACCATGATGAGGCGGTGAAGAATGCCCCATCCGAGCTTTCTCCTGCCTCAGACATGTCTCTTTGACTCTGTGATATGTCTCCTACTCGGAGTAATTACCAGGCAGGCCTCCCACGTCGCCCGGCAGCAGCAACGGCAGCGGGCTCGGCATGTGTCCCGGCAAGGCTCAGCACGTCTAGCCGGCCGAAGGAAACGAACATGGACCAGCAAAATCAAGCAATCTTCTCGAAGTAGCGTATGAGATTGAGGTCCACAGAGGGCTTCGTTCAATCGTCATCATCCCCGTGATCCCCAACACAAGTCGCCGCGCAAAGGACTCGCGCCCAGCGACTCCCCCACAACGCAAGAGACGGCAAGCAGGCAAAGAGAGTCCCGAAGCTCCCTCCACCCCCAGTATCAAGACCAGCGCTCGGACCAGGCAACCTGGGTAGAGCAACCTCATACAAAGGCGTAGTACACTGCTCGCTAACAGCCTCGAGAGAACCATCACGGGACAGCGCCGGGATGACTGCACCGAGGGCCCCCAAGAACAGAGACGGCCGTGTGCCGATATCCTTTCAAGCGGCGCAACGAAGCCAACCAGATCGCCGCGACCCCCAGGTCCCCCAGGTCCCCCAGGTCCCCCAGGTCCCACAGGTCCCTTAGGACCCCCAGGACCTACAGAAAGAACAAGTGACACGGACCATCCGATCGCTACAAGAGGCGAAGGACATATACGACAGGGAACTACGATATGTCAACAAATCCAAGAGCAACACCACGGCACCCACGACGACGGGAACCCCGTCGGATCCCCCCCGCAGGCGCCGAAAAGCCGATCCGGCAGCCATCCGTCGAGGAACTATCGAGGCTTGTACGCTTCAGGTCACGCATATTGCGAAAGCGGCTAGGGTTTCGACCGACCGGGCGGGTTCCCCGGTCACCGCGCGAGTCGTTACGACCATAGCTGCTCGCGACGCTGAGCGACCAAAATACCTTGATCCAACAGGCGTTGAGAGACCCGCGTGTCGGACTTCAGGTTCGGTTCGCAACAAGCCCACCGTCATCATAAGGCACGGCGGAGAGGTTCCGAGGCCTACGTTGTAGAGTCTATAAGAGAGCCCCGTGCACGACTGCGAAGGACGCGCTGATACGGGATACCGTTAGACCTAGATCCGGCTTTTGAATAGCACATCAAAGGAACCGAGAGAAGCCCGCGTTTCCCCCTACCACAACCCGAAATGAATCCCATACAGTAGCGGCTGACTTGAAGATGGCTGTTTAATAGTGAAGAGATGGCGCGGCAACGCGGGCGCCTTTTTAGCTATATAGGACTCATAGTCGCGGTAACTATATCATCTTCATCATCACTATTAGTGCGGCGCCGTAAACATAAGAGACTCAACAAATACATTCCAGCGCAGACCAGCGGAGTAACCGTTTCCCTCATACTCTGCTGGCGCTGCAGGACATTGCGACCTATCTTGAGCGAGGATATCAGAACGGGCCACTGTGTCAACCGGGGAGGAGGGGCGGGGTGTTCCGCTTGCGCATCGGTCGGTAAAACACGGCCGATGTCACCACGCGGGAAAAACTGCATCTTGAAATGAGAGAGCTATGCAGCGGCTGAAAGTTTGTTTTTCGGGTTTCCCCCGTTTGATGTTCCTGCTGGAGGGATCCCAGGACCTGGTTTACATCGGGTTGGTCATGCTCACGGCTTAGCTGGGTGTGCCGGATTATTAGGCAGTCATAAAGGTTTACAATTAACCACTTGCATGTGATATATGGCTTGGACCATGGGTCAATGTGGCTGGGTAGCCTCAGATGGACGAGGCCTCTGGGTGAATATCAAATTGCCTACCTTCGTTATGAAGGACCCGCTCGAGAATGACGGAACGAGAGTCTCGAGGGAGATGGACAAACGGACCCCATACTCGACAGTTCTGACCGAACAGGGAGCCCGAAACGGTATCATGTCATTTCAATGCCAGGTGACAAGCACCAGTGAGACATGTGCTCTCAAAAATGAACGTGTGATTTCGGTCATTCAGTCAACCCCTCATCCTCTCTCCCCCAGATGCAAACCCCTCATCGATACATGTGCCCCTCACGATCCACGATCAGGAGCCAAGGGGGAAATAATGCCGTAACGCAAACCACGCAGGTCACAAGCGAGCACCCAAGAAGAAGCGCAAATGTCGTGTCCTGCGTGACTGCCAAGATATGCAATGCCGGGTATCCGCGCGTCCCATCTGGTGCTGGACGTCTTGGCCGTCGTTGGAGTCGACGGCGGGGAGGCGCAGGCATGCTGCGGGGATAGCGGAGGAGGGAGGAGTTTGGGCTCGCGATAAGGATCGGTTTCGTGTTGATCGACTTTGCGCTTCCCGCTGCCCTTCGTAGGTAGCCGCAGGGGATTGCGGAAAAGGCCAATTTGCGCCGCTCAACGTCCGGAAGCATGGCATAGAGACAACCAAACGCCGTGCCTGTAAGGATCAACCAGAGCTTGATAGACCGCCAACATGAGGATTCACACAGCCTGTTGCTTCTCATCCAACGTCGGTCTTCCCCCCTCCTCCCCATCATCGGCGGCCTCCTCCTCGTCGGCCTGCTCCAACCATCCACCCCCGCGATTCAATCGCAGTCCCTTGATGCAGCGCGTTGCATGGGGTGCAAAAGCAGGCGGCCGCTTCGGGCGCGCAACGCCGGGTGTGTCGAAAGAGCGCAACCACCGGGTCAAGTCGGCCCCACCAGGCGGTTCGGTACGCTGAAGGTCCATACGTAAGGGGGTGTCATTGACTGTGGACGAAAAAACGGCGGGTGAGGCGTTTTGAGAGGGCCCACGACCAGCGGCCCGAGGTGATTCTCCGGCCGGAACGTCGTCGCTCCGCAAGCCATGTTGCCCATGCATGTACATTGCCATGAACACGGAGCAAACACGGCAGCGAGCGAGAACGTTTGGGCCGTTGCTGGGTGGATTCGTGTGAACGCTGATCTTTCGAACAACGTCGTGTTGTGTCAGCGGGGGCTGTGCGGGACGTGGTGAAAGAGAAAACCCCCTCGTGCTGGACGGAGTCTAGATTCGGGCCATGGGGATGGCCAAGTCCAATGAAACGAAATCAAATGTGGACTGCAGGGACTATCGCCACGGCGGCGCCTATCCCAGGTTCTGACCATTGTTAGTGAGGCACGAGGGATGGCCGCGATGACTGTGCAGACTGGACGTCGGAGATCAGACTAATGGTGTGAGGAGGCTCTTCTTCGTGTGACGTGATGTTGGAGGCTAGGAGGCTAGTGCCCTTTGTGATTATGTTTGATGATGTCGATGGAGCCCGCCAGAATGGACATCCGCAACAGTACCGTTTGATGATGCCAATGGGTTTTGCTCTTGGCGATGCGTAGACTTGGATGCGTTGTCGCTTCCAAAGCCTATTGGATCACGGATAGGAACACCCTCTTGACGGCTAAGCACCACCACCTTTCCCCAGATCGACCAGTTGCTGATAGGCTGAGGTGACCCAAAGATGCTATGACCACATGCTATCTGGGGAAATCCGTGACAAGCGAACAATAACTGGAGTTCTGGAGCCGGCAGAAGAGATTGATAGGTCTGCGAAGGGAAGCTGGAGATGCGCATCCCTCTTGACTTGTCGATCCGGCGAACGATTGCGCTCCGCTCGGAGTCTGGGGTGAAAGGGGGAAGCTTGTCCAGACGACTTTGAACAGCTCGTTCATGTTTTCTCATTGCCGCAATGTCCATGAGGGTGCCCACATGTCATCACCAGCGTCAACGAGACGGGGGCACTGGGCGTCCTCTGGCTGACGATCTGACGACCGCCAGGGTCATTCCCACGGCTGTGCTTCATTCGATGCTACTGCAGCATGCGCTGACCGAGCGAGCCAGACCGACAGACACTACTGACGTCGTACATATGAGATGCGGGGTGCTGCTACGAGAGACGCACCCGAGGATAGCGTACTTGTATTCGAAGCGGGGTCTTTGCATCTTCCACATGTGCCCCAGACGAACCAACGCGCCTGTCGTCAACGTTCCCTTCGAGGAGGGTCATGACAGCTTGCGTGTTTTGCCTTGATATCATCCTTCAACACAAGAGCATTTGAAATGCAAGGCTGTTTGATAGTAGCGATCCAGGGCCGAGCCGAGCAAGAGTCAAGATGGCCCACGAACTGTTCCGACGATGCCTTCAGGGCCCAACAGTTTGCGATCGGCCAAAGCGGGATGACGGATGCCAAGACCATGCCAGGCGCAGGAAGAAATCCCTTGAATTTTTCTGTGGGGATGTGAGGCGATCCGTCGTGAAGGATCCCTCCGATTAGCTGGGGCGCCTTGTGGGTTAGTGTTTTCGATGGGCAAGTTATCGGCCATTGGCTGGTCAGACGATTGCTGAGGGTGTGCGGCACTTTGGTGACCCTTGGACAAGGGGGGGGGGGGCTGGCTTGTTCGCGACGTCACCTCCAGATGAGGGATAAGTCGTCGTTTTGGCATCAAGATTGATGGTGAACGAGCACAGTAGCCCCCGGCTTCTGCAACTAGAAGGCCTTTGCGGCGACAGAAGGACGATGGAGGGGCGCACGATGACGATGAAATACCTGCAAGGCGTGCCGAGCCGGTGGTATTCTCAACGACGACTTAACGGTAGCAGTCGATGGAACGAATCAGTCATACCAGCGGGGACTTGTGATTCATCATGAGGGTATCGTGAAGCGGAATGATGGCGGTTACGTTTCGTCCAACGCGGGTGACGAGCGTTCCACCATGTCATGACGATCAGGGCGGGCGATACAGAGAGAGAGGCCTTTTCAGGGGTTTCGGGGGAAACGGCCGAGACAAGGTGACCAGGCGACCTCTGCTCAGGGCCGCCCAGAGAGGCTCGATGTATGTGATCGTGGGGCGCAAGGAATGAGATGCACCGTCCATCTTGGAGAGAAGGCCTGTGACTGCCTGGAGGAAGATTACGGAAGCAACGGGCGTAGAAAACGGGGCGTTGTCGGACGTTTCGGGCCACGAGGATGCAAACAGGCGGGGCCCAAATGCACCCCTTTGATGACCCTTGACCGATCATTGGATGATAACATAAGCCACTCTGCTTTCCGGTCCACACTGCTTCGCGCCCCATGCCCTGTGCTCCAGGGCCTCAGCCGCTGGACCGGCACGCTGAGTCAACGGGCGTTGGTGGGTCCCAGATGGTGACGACAGGCGATGCGTGAGCCCCCTTCTGGCCCCCAAGAATAGGTACCAACTTACTGTACTACGTAAGGCAAGGCACTGTAGGTAATGAGTGGCCCCTGAAATATAACGCTCGCCCAGAATGAGGGGTTTAATCGACGCAGCAGGCCGATCAGCCAGGACAGACGGCTCAAAGACAACATGGTTGTCGTCCCGGCGTCACAAGGAAACGCAAATGGCTTCCGATGCATCGGGCTCGGGCGGCCAAAGGCCCGAAATCCTGCCAAGTACGGCCGTCTTGACCTCTGGTCTGCATGCAAAAGGCGAAATATAGTACGAAGGCAAAAGGGGCCAACATCGTGCCTTTGACGGCGCTGCTGGGTGGCGCCACTGTTGTGCCGTTTCGACTATCCATGCGAGTGAGAATAGATGGAAGCTTGGGGATACCTTGCCAGCTTGCCGAGCCTTTTCTTCCTGACAATATCCCTCACGAAGACAGCCTATTGTTTGACGGCTGTTGCGCTCTAACGAGCAACCCCTGTCACGATACATGTAGCACTTGGTATGTCCCTGGAGCCGCTGCCAGGTACCACTGGTGACAGCTAGAGCAAGGCCGTTTGGGTGTTCCTTCACTGTTCCTTCACAAGGCTCCCTGTCGGGCTTGACACACTTGACAGGCAACACAAGATGAAAGAGACAACCAGCCGGCACCCAAGTCTGATCTGTCTGATCTGTGGATCAGGCACAGGGAATATGGGACACATCGTCCGGGATCCCATTAAACCTCAAGCCTTGCTGACGGCGGCTGGCGACTGAATAAGCCTCTGTACCCAGACGTGTACCATGTACATGTCCCTAAGACGTCGAAAATGAGCCGAGAGAGCACAGCACGTCCGACGTAAGACGCACAGCAACCGAGGCAACATCATCGGGAGAGTTACGTCTCGGTTCGTGGTCGATGGGCGATGTGACCAGGAGGACTGTTTCGATCCCAAATCGCAACACCCATATGACACTCAATCTCGTCAAACCGGAGCGCTCGACCGCCAGTCCGACAGACGGAATCTGGGCAGCACAGGCAGGCTTTGGCCATTCGTTGTCGTGTTCCCCTTTTCCCCTTCTGCCCTCTTCAGTCCAGGACCCGATGCCCCTCGGTGGAGTTGTGAAGGAGGCTGTGGAGCGGCTGGTTCTGGGGGGGGGGTGCAAACAGATTCCGTTTCATTGGCCGTTATGTGGTCCAACCTGCACAAAATACGCTCACGGCATGACGCCGGCCTGTTTCGACAAGGAAGCGGGGCGTTGGACCACTGTGGCCAGTACCCTGCAGCGCCGCTGGCGTCTCCTGTCGGACGAGGGGGCGTCCTCCTAATCGCGATGCAGGCAGAGGTCCAAAGGGCAGGCAAGGGACAATGCCATCATTGCTTCGTCCCGCTTGGCCTCATTGGGCGTAGCAAGGTGCCCCTCCGAGAGAAGAGGCCGCATGTGGATTGGACAAG